GATACAGGCGTATTTCTTTCTTTTAAGTGGTAAGGGGGAGGTGGATGGGAGAAAAAAAATTCTTTATAATTGAAATAAATAAATAAAAAAATAAAAATTATGGGGAAGTTGGGCTAAACTAACCAACAAATTAAGTTTAACATTTTATAGTATCCCACTCCCATTAGCCTCAAGTTCTGTTAAAAAATGGAAAGAGGTGCATTCTCAAATCTCTTTTTTAGGACTAAAGTTGGTTATTATAATTACACACAGTTCAGAGTTCAAGTTTATTGATTGATTGGTGTTGGTACTGGTTTTGCTACCTGCTATCAGCTTCTGAGTTGCATCTCTTCAGTGTCTCTTGCTAGCCATCCTATCTCTAGTCTACTAGGGTAGAGTGCCTAGAAAGTATCTCCCAGATAAGGACAGGATAGCATCTCTCTCTCTCTCTTTTTTTAGGCAATTGGGTTAAGTGACTTGCCCAGGGTCACACAGCTAGTAAGTGTCAAGTGTCTGGTCTGAGGTCAAATTTGAACTCAGGTCCTCCTGATTTCAGGGTCTGCTGCTCACCACCTCACTGCACCCCACCTCGCTGCCCCCCAGGATAGCATCTCTTTAGTCATGATGAGACCACCATAAGCCAGGAATAGATAGTGTCCCTAGGCTAAGATCAAACCTTTTCTTTTTGCCTCTATAATTGAGACTGCAATCACAGTCCTTTGTCCCAAATTGGCTTAGAAATTCCCCAGCTCCCTTCTTGCTTAAAATGAAAATGAATTTTGTCCAGAATAAAAGGTAATAGAAAGAAACAAGGCCATTATTGTTTTTTATCCATCTATCCCACATTACTGCCCTTATTTTATATCAGCAGCAACTTTCCTCCCCCATGCTCCTCACCCCAAACCCTAGCTTTGGTTCTGTCTTTCAGCCAGCAAAAAACCTTGATGTCTCTCCCCAGGGACAAATCCCCTGGGGTAGGCCTGGAAGCTGATTTAAGTCTTCAAGGAATCATAAATTGAGCAGGGTCCCTGTTTATTAACATTGCTTACAAGTCATTCTACCAGAAACAAGGAAAATAGAGTACAAAACAATCATTTGGGGTCATTTTAATGATAGATCTTGTGCTGGAAATCACTGGAACAACATATAGAGTGAGAAATATGCCATAGCAATGACACAAGGCATGAAAACTCATCCAGGATTATTAGGTTTGGGGGGAGGCTGAAGGTAGAGATAGCCCTAGCAGGGTATAAGTCGGGGGAAAAAACCCTCAAAGTGGTAATAGGTGAATAAATGCTGGAGACTTCTCTGGGATCCCTATGGAAAGCACGTCCTTAGGAAGGAAGTTGCATGATGCCCTCAAAATTCTGAGTGCTTTCTCCTTTGCTATTGTTGTTCTTCTCCATCATTTGTTCTCAAAGAGAACCAATGACATTACCCAGTGATGTCTTGACTCCCAAGTCAATCATCAATCGGGTGAGGCAGAGTTGAGCAAAGTCATCAGCCTCTCTCTCTCCTCCAGAGACATCAAAGTCCAGTGGCAAGGCAAAAGTCAAGATGACTGGCAATGGCCCTGAGATGCATTGGATGACGTAAGTGGAGGAGGGGAAGAAGGAAGTATTTTCCCTGCTTCTGTCTTTTTTTTTTTTGTCACAGTTTATTTTTTTTCTATTTGTTTTGGGGGTTTGGGACAGATCCTTGAAAATACCACGGGAGGGGTAAATCTAGAGGAAGTTTGTGGGAATTGGAGATGAGAGAAAACCCAAGGTCTATTCAGCAATTGAAGGCCTGGACCTTCACATGAGTGTTAATTTGGGGAGCCTCTAGAACTATCCATCCTGAAAACTACTATAGATGCTTTGGACAAAAGATAGCATAAAACACAGGGGAAGGAATTAATGTGGGGTGGGAGGAGTAACTACAGCTTTGAATGAGCTGCTTATACATATTATGGAGCCTTTCTAGGGCTCCACAGAAATATCCAGAATTGAGGATATAGACCAATGTACCCAAAGGCACTCTGGTGGGATTTGTAGGAATTCCAAATTTTTGACTGGAGAGGGAGAGTTTAGGGGATTGAGAAGGGAGTTCTCTGACACTTGATTAGTTTTAGGGTGATAAAACTTTTCTGATTTTATATCTCTATGGTGGCTGTGTAGATCAATTGAAGATGAATTCATTGATGAGTTATTGTGGGTCATACCCATACTTTGTTTTGGCCCTATAAAAGGGAGTCATCTGCAGACAGACCCCCTTCCCTTTTCTTTTAGATATGGCCTGGAAAAGCTGAGAGAAGAGATACATAAGAAGCAGAATTCAGAGTAATCAGGATCCCAATGATGGGGCAGAAATGTTTGAAATATACAGTTTTCCCTTGAGGTGACACTAATGTATGCCTTGGGGCAAAGATACATTACAGCTGCATTTGCACCCACCCATGGGACCTAAAAGGAGGATTCTCTGGCGCTTTCATAGAGAAGCATTTTCAGGACCACTCTGCCCAGGAAATTGCAGCCATGGAGAGAGAAATCATATAGCCAAGTGGTTGTGGTAGGAGGTCCTAAAACTTAGATTGTTCATGTGAAAAGTAGGGTAGTCCCTGGGTAGTGCCCACATCATGGGGAGAGTAAAGGTAAGAGAGTAAAGCAAAAGTAAGGGGCTGATTCAAGGTATGGAAGTGAAGACAGACCTTTGCTTTTGCTCTGAAAGTTAAGGAAGATGCCTTTTAACAATCTCAAGTTTGTTTTTCTTCCAGAGAAATTCTAAGCCCTTAGGATAGCACTATGAAGTCGGAGGCCTGCATGTACTCATGAATTGAATGTGGGAGTCATTAACATGTTGGGATGTTACCCCTTCAGGAACCCAAAGTTAATTTCCTTCCAAAGGGAATCCAGACCACATAGTGCTTTGGTTCTGGGGGATTTTATAGGGTATGGGGAGAGAGGGGGCAGCAGGAAGGTGAGACTCTCCTGAAAGAAAGGAAAATTGAATTGATTACTTAGGGATTATTGTGATTCTCTTACATATTTATACTCTTTTAAATCTTATGTACACTGTTACCTTGAATGCTTGTTCAGGAGATGGCAACCCTGTTACCCACTTCTGTTGCTATTTCAACATGAGCTATCTCCGAGCTATATTCCAAGATCTCCCAGGGGCATTCTGGGACAAAATGAATCAGATATGGGATTTGGGGTGAGTTTCTTCAAGACAACTCCCTGGGGATTGTGGACTGTGGGTTACAAAAATATAAATGTTTGGACTTTTATACAAAATTATAGAATTTCTAAGCTGGAAGGGAATAAGCATTTCTATTGCATCTACTATGTGAAATAACAACTGCTGATTATCCCCATTTTACAGCTGAGGAAACTGAAGCAAAATAGAGGTCAAGTGACTTGCCCAGGGTCACATACCTAGGAAGCATCTGAGGCTTCCAGACTTCATACCCACGTGATCTTTCCACTTCATCACCAACCGCCTCAGAGATCTCAAGGTCATCTAACCAGAACCTCAGCAGGAACAAAACAAACAAACAAACAAAAACCCATGAGCAAGTCTCAACCTCTAAGCCTTAATTTCTTTATCTACATAGTCCCTACCTCACATATTTGCAAGGTGCTTTGCAAACCTTAAAGTATTATGTAAATGTCAGTTATTATTTTGCTTTCTAAGATTTCTGTTTAAACCTCACAAATGAGACCTTTCCATCCAACCTTGCCCTTCTCAGTTTTGATCAAGCTTTTCTAATTCCTCCTTTGTCTCAACTCATCTTCTAGGCTCTTACTACTCCTGTGCACAGTACCACAGCAGAATTGCCCGGGCTAAGTTTTGTGAAGTCCTGGAATTTCACAAAATGTGAACAAAAGTTTTATAAGGAAATTTCTAGGTTAAAGATATTTCTCACTAAAATGTTACACATGTAAATGTATCAAAAACACTTACTGAATATTTTTATATTAACATATTTCATAATTCAAAGTATTCCATGGACAAATTATTCTGGGAAAGGCTGCCACATATGAAAAAAGTAATTTATTTTATATACAGGGCAAAGGGGTTGAAGAGGTGGGGGAGAAACATTTGGCCTGGGCCTCAAGCTCAAATGAGAACTTAAATTTAGCAGATAAAGATATCAACATTCATCTCCAGGAAAAGGAAATTTCAATGTCCACTCCAAGTCTAAGATCAGCTGACACTACCCAGAAGCTAGATTTTCTTCAATAATTAGTGATTTTCTAAAGGAAAGAAGCTATAAGAGAAAGCATTAAGCTAAAAGCAGTCAAATTATGTCTCACTTTTTTGAAGTGTCTTCTTTTAATTTTTTAAAATACAATTGTAGCTACAAGAAGTCAGGAAGTCTCAGCACCCAACACTTAATTGGCAATGAAAGAGGTGCACCCCAGTCAGTCAGCTTTGAGCAGGAAAGAAAAGAGGCCATATAGTTCTCAGATTATTTTTTAAAATTATTTTATTTGAAATATTTTGCTTTTACATCATATTCGTTTATATATAATCTACAATTATATATACATGCTTTTATACATACCTTTATATATGATGTGTGTTTATCTATCTCCCCACAAAAGATTTAAAAAGAAAAAAAATTAAAAAGCAATGTTGCCACACCTTTTCCCCACTTCTGCAATCTTCTTTTCTTCTGGAACGGTAATTTGTCTTCTTTTCTGAGGGCAGTCTTGGTTTTAGGGTTCAGTTTCAGTGCCTTTGTTCTTGAGGACCCTAGACTCTCAGAGAATGATCGAACACCTTAATGTCCAATCACTGCCATGATTGTCAGGTTTCCTTCACCTCCAGACAGCAGTTTACATTCCAGTCCAGTGATCTCACCGGCTTCAGTCTATAGTCTCAGCCTCTTCTCTACTCCTCCTCCACTTTCCCCGAGGTTGAGGGCGTGCCCCGCCCCTCCCTGACAGGTGGGCGTTCCACGGGGGCGGGGTTTAGGCTTCCAAAGTTCGAAGTAGGCGGGGCCGAGCCCCAGGCGCTGACGTCCCCCAGGTGAGCCTCAAGTTTCAGTGAAACTTAGCTGCTCCTTATTGGAAGAGTGGATTTGGCCTTGGCCGGGACTTTGCACTGGATTGTGTCTTCAGGGTTTTAGGAGTGGTGGTCGAAGGAAGAGCAGGAGCGGCAGGGTCAGCTCGGAGTCGCTGCAGCTCCGGTGGTTGTAGCAGCGGCTGTCCCGGCCTGGGACTGGTCCCTGGGCTGTCCCGGGAAGATGCGCGCCTGGGGCCCGGCGTGGCTGCTAGGGTGCGCTGCCCTGCTAGCCGCTGCAGTCGTCTCCTCCTCCTCCTCCTCTAGCGTCTTGTCTCCAGGTGAGATTTACAGGAGGGGCAAATCTTTCCAAGCTAGGAACAAAGAGAGTCTTCTCCCTGGGCCTCCGAGGGAGAAATTGGGCCCAGATGGCGTTGTTTTTGCATACCATGGTCCCCTGGGACTCTGTGGGCTGGGAGGGGATCCGGGCGAGTCTGGAAAGTCTTAGATACGCCCCGAGTTCCCCATCCTCTTCTGTAGAGGTAGAGTTTATTCGCAGCTAGCATAAGGGAGAAGGTAAAGGGGAAGGGAATAAGCATTTCTATAGCACGTACTGTTACCAGGCACTGCGCTAAAGCGCGTTTTTGTAAGGGAGGTAGTCTTCCCTCGCCGTCGGATGTAGAGGGCTGGAAACACCGTGGTAAGATGTTGAGGAATGCTTCTGCTCATCTCGGGGTCGGGGGGGGCGGGGGGGGGGCTGGGATGCATTAAGGAACATAGTACGGTTCGAAACGGAAAGGGGCCATAGTGATCATTTAGTGTAACACTCCATACTCCAAATTACTAACGAAGAAACTGAGAGTCAGAGAATTTACTTGCTTAAAATCTCACAGGTGGTAAGCCGCAGAAGCGGAGATTTGAACTCCGGTCTTTTGATTCCAAGTCCTGTGCTTTACCTGCCACACCTAAGTGACTCGGGTGCTACTCTTCCTTTCTCTTGCGGATCCGACTCTTATCTTCCACCTAGCCAGCAAGTATCTGGAGCTCCCTGAACCTCTGCTGGGTGGAATGGCAGCCAGCTGTACTGAGCTTTGGGGTTATATCATTTTGCAAACATTAAATAATTATAACCTTTTGACAAACCCCAGTGACTTCCTTTAGCGGGTCCCCCGGGGTAGGGGTGGGGGTGGGGGTGGACTGCTATAGTTCGGGGACTATTGCCTGGCCCTGGAGCATTGAGACAAAAGCTACTGCAGAGATTGGTTCCCAGGGGAGTGTCTTTTGCTTTACGATGTAAAGTTACACTCCTCAGACTCTGGGACTTGGTTCCGTGTGTACTCACTCTCCTCTTTGAGTCCTTTGAATGCCCTAATTTTTCCATTCTAAAATCTTTTGTCCCAAACTTTCCCCAGCCCCTAAACATCCCAGACACGGAAACGGCAAGCGACTGTTAAAAGTCTCTTATTAGACATCCTTGAAGAGTCCTAAGCTTTGGTACCCAAACGAGTCTCCTGGCATTTTTAAACGGCAGATCTTCTCTACCTCTTTAGTCACCCGAGGTTCTGAAGTTACCCTCAGTGTTTAGGACGACTCGAATGTCATGCAGGTTTTAGACCTTTGTTCTCCTGTGTCCCCTGGTTATCACATAACTCTGCAATGCCCTTTTTAACGATAGACACACAGAAGGGGACAAATACCATCTGCCATGATCATGTGACAGTGGACTTTCCTGCTTTCTGTGTAAGCAAAACAGAACAGGATAATATAGTACAGTACGTGGGGTAGTCCTTTGTTGCCAGCGTTCTTGGTGTTCTCGTTAGACCTGTGTGCATTGACATGCACACATGACATGCAAAAACATGACAGGCATATTATGGAATGAGCCCTGACTGATCCTGCAAAGATGGGGTGGGAGAAATGTGTTTGAGAGTGAGATAATGTGATTTAAATGGGGATCCGATCTTTAAAGATGCTACAAATAAGTATAAAGAATACAAAAGTGACCAAGGTTTATTTTTTGTATGTTATCTCTTAAAAAGAAATTATACATTCGTTGATATGTCCAAGAGCTCATGGAGACTCCAAGTGCCTTTATTTAAGAAAAAAATTCAAAGTTACACTTTTTACCTACTTTTTTTCAGAGATTCAGCTCTTCTCATTTCTACACAAAGGAGAGGGAGGGAAAGAGAGAGAGAGAGAGAGAAATCGAAGTTTGTGGAATGAGATTGAAAGAACTTTGTGCAAGTTATTTATTTCCAGTTAGGAAAATGTTGGGTAATTGGATAATAAATGCATGTATAGGCCATAGGTCTGTTTTCTCAAGATAAACAGAATATATTCCATTCTTTTTTGCATAAGAGAATAGCATTGAGCTTATCTGGTTTTAGGCCTTGGGAAGCTGTGATTTCCCAATTTGCCAATCTTTTCTAAAGGTGAAATAAGTCGACAATTCTACAGTTCTATGCAGATGTCTAAGATTTAGTTTTGTACAAGTGGAAAATACATAGTGGTTGAGCAAGCTCCTCTTTGTAGGTGCTTGCACTGTGCTAGACACTGGGAATAGAAAGACACACAGATCAACTGTACCAACTCAAGAGTGTTGTCAGGTAGAGGGTAGGTCAGCGAGGAGCATAAGGGTTTTGTGAAAAGCTCCAAGTTACTGTTTAACTAAGGCTCTTTAATATTATATCCCAGCTCTTTTCCCACATAACTAGGCAGTAATTTTCCCAAAGGTGGTTAAGTGGTACTTTGGTATGTATATTGAATGAGGTTCGCTGTTTCAGTTGAAAGGACCATCATCTCATAATCTACCCATCCCTATCACTGACAATGGAGTTCCTTGCTTTTAGACAAATGAAGATTTATAGTAGGACTAGGTGGGCAAGTAGGCGGATAAAGTCTGGAGTCAACAAGATCTGAATTCAACTGTGGCCTTAGACACTAGCTAGCTTCAGGATCTTGGGCGAGTCACTTAATCCTGGGGTTTGCCTCAGTTTCCTCATCTGCAAAATGAGGTGGAGAAGGAAATGGTAAGCCACTCCGGTATCTTTGCCAAGAAAACCCTAAATGGCATCACAGTCAGACGTGACTGAACAACAACAGTAAGGCTAGCTAGCTATGAATGTCTGCCTTACCTATCCCTCCATCTTGTACTTCCATTTTTCTGTTGCTGTCCTCCAATGCACCTTTCTTTGTGCTCCTTAGTTTTGTTACAAGCACTGTGTACAGCTCACTTAAAGCTACTAACTTTTTTTCCTTAAGTTATTTTCCCAACAATGTGTATAGAATCATTCCATTCAATCAACATTTAGTCAGCTTTTACTACGGGTAAGGCTCTATCTATGCGAAGGTTTGGATAGCTCTCGTTTTATGATACTTTAAGGTTTACAAAACACTTTCTTCAGAAAGACCCTGAGAAATTGACAATGAAAATAATGTTATTCCCATTTTGCAGATGAGGAAATTGTGACTGAGAGAGGTTTAGGGCTCAAATGGGTAGCCTAAAGATCATCTTAGAATTTTACAGAGTCCAGATAACTTTGACTCAGAGATAAGCTGGCTAGCTGCAGAGGCGGGGCTGATCCTCTTGTCTCTATATGACTGGCCTTTCTACTTGCATGATGTCTATTGGAAACTCCCTACCTCACTTGTTACTAACAATGAAACTCCTTTCCTGGCTTTCTTTAAGTCTTAGACCACATTCCACTTTCTGTGGGAAGCCTTTCCTGGGACACCCTTCACCCTCCCTGGCTGCTTCCCCTCTGAGACTGCCTCCCATCCACTCTAGTTTTCCTGCCTGTCACTAATTATCGACATGTTGTCTTTTAGTATGTGAGCTCCTTGAGAGCAGAGACTGTTCTTTGCCTTTCTTTGTGATCCCCACCCCCTCCTTTATCTCATTGCCTGATACATAGGAAGCACTTAGTAAATTAATGCCTATTGACTGCCTGATGGACATGGTCCTCTCAGGACAGATCCCTCTTTTTAGTGAATTGCTTATTTTAAATTTGTCTATTATTTTAAAAAATAGCACGCTTTTGACTGCACACGTATAACTGACATCAAATCTAATTGCTTCCTCAATGAGGGGGAGGGAAAGGAGGGAGAGAATTTGGAACTCAAAAAAATTTTAAATGAATATTAAAAATTGTGTTTACGTGTAACCAGGGGATAATATTAAATTAAAAATAACCTGCTTAATAACCATTGACAAAGGCAAAACTTAAATGTATAAAATAAAGGGAAAGATCATGAATAAAACCTAGAATATATTATATCATACATTCTAACAAAAGAGAATCACACAAATGAATAAACTGCAACTTTTCTTTGTTCCCCTTCTCACTTCACTCCTTTTCCTTTGTTTTGTTTTTACTTTTATTTATTTATTTTTTAGGCAATTGGGGTTAAGTGACTTGCCCAGGGTCACACAGCTGATAAGTGTCAAGTGTTTGGTCTGAGGCCAGATTTGAACTCAGGTCCTCCTGACTTCAGAGTGAGTGCTCTATCTACTGGGCCACCCAGCTGCCCTAGGCCTTTGTTTTGTTTTTATATAGTTGTAGTCAGTATATATACTGTTCTATTGCTGCTTATCTTGATTTGCATAATTTTCCTGTTTTCTCATTTTTTCTATTTTTCATAGTATTTTTGCAGTGCCATAGCATTTTATTACATTATTATACCATAATTTAGAAATCTCCCAATTATTGGACAAATAGGTAGAATCCAAACTTTTGATCTTATAAATAGAAGTTATGAATGTTTGCTATTGATCTCTTAGGGTCCTTGTGAAAAAAATGTAAATCTTAAAATGCCAAATAAATATGAATTATCCAAAAAGGATGACTCCCTTTTTTTTTCCTTTTTGACAAGAGTATTTGTATCCGTAGCACAGGGCCTGGCCTACCACCCATGTAATAGATGCTTGTTGATTGACTGTGGAGTATGATAGAAAAAGTGTTGGACTTAAGCTTCTGACACTTATTCGAAATGTGAACATGGGCAAGACTTTCAGAGCCTCAGTTTTTTCTCATCTGTAAAATGATGAGGACAATACTTTCACTATCTCCCTTACATGATATTTTAATATCTTTTAAAATAATTTAAAATTTATTTTAATAAATAAAATAAAACAATGAACAAAAATCTATTTTCTCTCCTTCCCATCTCTCCCCACCCCCAACAATTGAAAAAAAAAAGGAAAAACAAAACCCTTGTAACAAATATGTATAGTCAAGCAAAACAAATTCCCACTGTTGTGAGGATCCGAAGAGATAAAATTTGTGAAGTGCTTAGTATAGTGCCCAGTACATCGAAGGCACTTCATAAATGCTTTCCATGG